CATGAAGAATAGTGAAAAAAAATCAAATTGAAATAAAAATAAAAGAAGTTTTTTTTTTTTTTTTTAAATATGTCTTTAAGAATCAACTTTCATTCCTTTCTTTTTCACTTTCTCTCCAATAAAAAAAATTATATTTTAAAACTTTCTTTCTTTTTTATTTTTTATTTCTCTTTATTTTCATCTTCCAAACATAATACGAATTCCTAAAAAAAAAAAAAAAGAAGAATAGGAAGAGTTATTTATGGTTGATGTTGATTTTACCATTTCAGGAAACTAACGAAAGGAGACGAAACAGAACTGTAATCTGAAGCTTTCCCGACCGTCGGATCATGGTTATCTTGATCCTCTGGTGCACCAAACTGTAAAAACTGCCAAGGTTATGTCTCGTCATTCGAGGCTACTGATCAGGCTTCAGTTATCCATAGCGTCACGCGCAAAGAAGCGCGTCACTCAAACAACCCACCCCTCTTGCGCTCGTACACTACACGTGTCTCCACAACTGTGGGTCGACGGTTTTGCATGGTCACAGCACGAATCTGTACTTGGTATGCGTGGTTCCATATTTTACCCGACACAAACCTCTGCCTTCTGCATGCTCTCTGCACAAACACTACACTACTACCTCGTTGCATCTCCAGTGTTATGTTCTCCCATTTGTTTTTTTAGTAATTGCTGTCAATAATTATTAATTTTTAAAATGAAATCGTGTATTTTTGCACATTTGTAAAATTATTTTTTGTATACACTTGTGCTAATAATGCACATTGATCCTAATGTCGAAATCAGTTAAGCAGTGGAAAATGAAGTTTCTACGTGGTGGATTATTTTTTTAATGTTTTTCGTAAGTGTTAAGAGAGTGTGGAGGGGGTAATCGTATAATAGAGTGATTTGCGGCAACCGATCCGTAACTTGCGATAAAAAAAAGTAAGGTTGAAGTAACGGAAAAGTGACTTTATAGAGAGGAGTGGGTCAAGAAATCACGGGTCTACTGTCTCCATCTTCATGTAACTAATATCCATCAGAGCCATGTGAAGTGACTCAGAAGTCTTGACGGGTAAGTAGCAAATTTTCCCCCCTACTTTTTTTAACTTAATTGCTTTGGACGGGTCTGGAATAACTGTTGTTGCATAACGATAAATTTTATAGAAAATGATGTGGTGATAATAATATAAAAATGTAGCAATAAGGTAAGAAGAGCAGAAAAAGGAAAAGGAGAATATAGTTATTATGAATGCATGTGATGAGAGAGAGGAGAGAAATGGGACTTTTTCAGTATCCGCATGCATACGGAAAAGTACTACGGCGTTTTCGGAGAACGCCGGCGCGGCCGTGCAATGACTTTCTCTTGCTTTTGTACGGCCACAACAGCAACACCGCATAATTTTGCTTTTTCATTTTCAGTCACCTAGTAACTAGAACCATAGGAATGATGATTGAAGAAAAAAAAGTAACTTTGTGTCGATTTTCTTTTTAACAGGGAGGTGTAAGTGTAACTCCTTTCTGAGTGGCACCTTCCGTGACTCTACTACTGATTCATCTTCAACATAGAAATTGAATCATGTTTTATTAAGGGTTCTATAAATTAAATTACTTTGTATTAACAACTTTTGATTTCGTGTTAATTTACTACATTACTTTATTTAGATCTTTAAATTAAAAAATTATAATAACAAATAAGATTCTTAATCCACTTAGGTTTTTTTAAATTAAAAATTTGTTTATAGTTCATAAAATTTGATAATTTTATTCATATTTTCATACCTTCACCAATATCAAATAATTATTCTATGTTATTATTTATAAATATAAGTATTAATTCTTACTTATAAAAATTCTTATAATTTCTCTTATCATAAGAATTAGGATTTTAACATGTAGGGATTCAAATCGACATGTAATAATAAACTAATTATATTGTTAAACTGCGAGAATATAAAAAATATTTTATCAAATTTTATAAATTATAAAACTTTTGATCTAAGAACTAAATAACAGAAATATAGGGAAAAAATAAAAAAATTTAACAAATATTTTATTTTAAGGACCTAATTAAAAATTTCTACAAAATTTAGGATCAAATAATGCATTAATTTTTTTTTCTTTTGTTTCATAGAAAATAGAAAAAGAATGTGGGTCTTATATATATATATATATTAAGGAAAAGGAGATAGAGAAGCTGATAATAAGGGTATAAAATGAAATTTCAAAATAAAAAAATATTAAACCATATTTTTGTATGAAAATAAATAATGTTTAGTTATTTATTTTTGTCAAACTTCTCCATCAAAACTTTTATGTCATCTAAATAGTTGCAAAATGTAAAATATGAAAAATACATATAATAATATTTCATATGTCAAATATCAGAGAAATTTTAAAGAAAATATTTAAAACAATAAAATAAAAAAGGTAGAAACTTAAATTGGAAAAAATAAATAACAACAAAAGGAATGTATTAAAGAAGGAAAATGTAAAGGACCTAAAATGTTTTTAAATATGAATTGAACAAAAAATACCAAACCGTGAAATAATCCTTGATGTGCAAATGTAAAACTTACATGAGAGAATTTACATATAATGTTTTTTTTTACATGTTTAAACTAAAAATTATTAAAAAATCATTATAATATTGATCGATTGGTTTATTCAAATAGATACAAATTTATTTATTATAAAAATACATTTTTAAGATATTGATAATAAAAAAAAGTTATGTAATTTAGTTGTACTTTTTTAGCGAATAAAAATAAACTATTTCATCGATAACTATTTAATTTTAGTCACTGAAGTATAAAAGAAAAGAAAACAATGTAATCTTATAAAAGAAAAATCATTTCATATAATATAATTAAAGTATAATTAAAATGTATAATATTAAAGGTATAAGTTATTGATGATTTGATTTTATAATATTTTATTTTTTATTTATACAATATTTGCAAATATATGTACGTTTTTTGTTTGACACGTTTAAGCCACACATAATTTATTTTTATAATATACCAAATATAACTTATTTTCATAACATATATCAAATAAGTTATGTTAATGTTTACGATTTTTTAATACTATATTAGTTGAGAGAAACATGACGCGTCTCTACTATTTACAAAAATAAAAAAGTAATTATTGATTGGTTAGAGATTTATAAAAAGCAAAAAAAATATATAAATTAAATAAAAAAATAATGAAAGAGAGATGGTGAGAAAAACTAGTTTGAAAATTGTTACAAAGATAAAATTGACCAAAAAAAAATGTTTACAGCATGTGAACTCTTTATAGATGTTTTTATCTCCCATTTATATATTTTTCTGATTTTATTCTAAAACTAAAAAGTAATTGTTCACAATTTTTTATGCAGAAAAAGTATAATAATTATTTAATTATTTTATAAGTTAAGTGTTGTAGTAGTTGGTTCAAAATTTGCATAGGAGAGTGATTACACACCTCATCTTAAACATTTTTGTATCTAAATTTTCAAATTCCAATTCATATCGCACAATTTTTTCAACTGGATAATAAATTAAGTGTTAAATTGAATTTTATTAATTTCGAAAGCACAAAGATTTGACTTTAACAGTTGAAACATGGATTAAAATCATGTCCATTTGATAAACTACAGAAAAATATTAATTATGCTTTATTTTAATTAATATAATTTTATTTTAATGAATTAAAAACTAATTAATGATATATAATTACGGGTAAAAAAACTTCCCTTCAAATATAAGAAGCGCGAGAAAGTTCACGGAATCTGCTACCCCATTACAATCAGTAATATATATTTAATAATAATATCATTAATAACAATAACAATTTATTAAAAGTAAACATTTAAAAAAATTATCTTTTATCTTTTATCTTTATTTCTCTTTCTTCATGATCTATTGTCTTCTTCTTTTCACTTTTTTAATAATATTTTCCCCCCTTTATTTCCGTCTACTCTCCAAAACATAGGATTAGTTTAAAGTATGCCGTAAATAAACAGAGTTTTAACTATTGTCTACTGAAAAAATATATTCGGATTAACATTTTACTAAAAGTTTTCAGTTTTTTTTTTTATATATTATAATTATAATTTTTTTTATAGATATCAATTATTAAAAAAAGTAATAAACATTTTATATTAATAAAATATAATAAATCTTACTAATCTATACTGATATACAAAGATGATTCTCATTTTAGTAACTACCTTTACTTTGGTCTCCATTTTTTTACTATTTTACTTTCTTATTTTAAAAAATTTTAAAAATATTTTTTAATCAAATTTAAGAACATAAAACTAATGAATTAATTATAATACTAATTAGATCAATATACTTTTATTATTTAATTTTTATTTTTATTTTATTTTTAATAGAGACACGAAGTGCCTCTACCCCACTATTACTGATAACACAATATAAAGAATCATTCTCACTTTTTTTCAAAGATTTTATTTAAAGTGCCAGTTATAATAATTGTTTTTTTTTAATATTCTTATTTTAATTAACAAGTTAAAAAATATTAGATAAAACCTCTCTCTTAATAAATTTGGAGAAAATAAATAAATGTCTCATAATTCTTTCATTTCTTTTGACATTATTTTCTTTGTAAATATTAATTAATTTGATGAAAAGTAATTAAGTAAAAAAATGATAAATTAAGAAATAATGAACTTAAAAGAAAAATTTTGGATTTTAAAAAATGTGATCAGAAAACAAGATTTTATTAAAGATAAAAAGATTAATCATCGATAAAATTAATATTTTGTATCAATAAAATAATTAAAAAATATTCTAAAAAGATAGTTTATTATTAATAAATTTAATATTATTAATTAATTTTTTAAAGAATATGATTTTTTTTAATATTTTTTAATAGAAAATATTAAAAACACTTTTAACCGTGTGTAATTTTTTTTTAATTTTTTAATGAAATTATAAAATAAAAAAAATGAAGGTGAATCTTTTATTTAAGTTATTGAAAAATAAAATATGGGAAATTTGGGTTGACTGAAAAACACAATGATTCTCCCAAGGAGAGAGTATGAATTCCCTCCCATTGATTACTATTACTATTACCCCCCTCAAGAGTGAAGAGTGAAGTATATTGAAAAAGCGAGGCACGGAATGAAGAAGGTGGAGAAGATTCGTCAAATCGTGCATCTGAAGCAGCTGATGGCGCGGTGGAAGCACATGAGCCTCCGGCAGACGGAGAGGCCACCGGCGGGGTCGATCTTCGTGTACGTGGGCCCGGAGCGCACCCGGTTCGCCATCCCGGCCCGCTTCCTGAACCTGCCGGTGTTCGAGGCCCTCCTCCAGCAGAGCGAAGAGGAGTTCGGGCTCCGCGGGCAGGGCGACCACGGCGGGCTCCTCCTGCCCTGCCAAGTCCCCCTCTTCTCCCTCCTCCTCAAACACCTCCACAAAGACCACCACAAATACGGCAACTTCCCCCTCCAGGCCTTCGTCAACATGCTCTCCGACTCCGACCCCTGCAAGGACCACCTCACCCTTTTCACCCCCCTGCTTCACAAAGCCCAAGTCTAACCAATCTTTTTTCCTCTTATTTCTACTCATCCTTGGATCCACTCTCTCAACTTTTCGTGGCTTTCAATGAGATGTCATATCTTTCCTTACCCTTTTCTTTTTTATAGATTGCCTTTCCCAATCTTGCTTTCTGTCCATGATCAAATTTTAGTGATCAATCAACAATTGCATGCTTAATCGTTACTATGGATCTCTCACATACTCTCCCTCTGGTGTTTTTTTTTTTTTTTTTCTCTTTAGGAATGCACCAAACTAGTGCATGTTTATTACACATTCAAGCAAGTTAGTCGTACTGTGATACTATCCAATTCCGGCAGTGTTATATTTTTAGAAAAATACTTAATAAAAATAAATTTAGAAATTAAATTGATTCATGTTTGGAATTTTAGAAAGACGTGGTTTTTTTTTTTTTTTTCTCTCTCTCTCTCTGAGTAACATTTGCTGCTTCAGGAACTATTTGGGTTTCAGAAGCTACAAATGTTTCTGCAATGAGAGCAGTTGTGGAGTTAGCAAAGGAAACACGTTTCTTTTTCTCATCTAATCTAATCTAATAACGTACATTTTGAAGAAATTAGGAATGGGTTAATAGAATCAAAATGAGGTGTACACTTGAAAAGCTTAATCTTTTTAATATTTGGTATCTTTCGTGTTTGTTAATGCCACTCAACTGGATTTGTTGTCATGCTTATTATTCTCTAAACAGGCGAAATGAGATTCTGTAAAAAATTTCAGTTTAATTTTTTAGCAAAGGAATCTCATCTCTGCGATATGTTTTCCTATTTTAGAATTTTATTTGGTTTTTGCTTATCCGAGTCCTATTTAACCTTACCCTCGAACCTTAGATTCCGCATATGTCAACAACACCGCTACTTTTTCTTTTTGTTTGTTATAGGAGAAAAAGATGGGCATGTGTCAATCGTTGGCGTGGGAGATTCCGGTGATATTTCTAGTTTTTATAAAAGTGTTTTGTTCTGCTTTAACTTAAATCGATCAGATTCCAATTTTTCCACATGACTATACAGGTGTTGAATTTGATCAGATTCCCATTCTTTTGTTGGGCTCTTCAAATTTGTTGTTTCTCTTTGGTATGAATTTTGATCCACTTCTCATTTGCAGCCATGAAAATTTGTTTTGGACCACTCAGTCCTCTAATTATTGCATAGATCATATCCTCCTTCTCATCTATGATTTATGATATATCTATGACTAATATCTATAATTATTAATAAAATAAATACTTTTTAAATAATATTTTCATCTTCATCGTTTTTTTTCCACTCAATTATATAATAATTTATTTATTTTAAAAGTAAATTTTACTAGATTTACATCATTCAATAATTCATGTTATATGTTAAATTTAATATAATTATTAAATAAGTTTATAACTTTTGAAAAGAATTAAAAATTATTTAGTATTTTGTTACAGTAATTTAAATTTTTATGGTTATTCATAAAATTTTATACGTTAGTTTGAATTTATATAAGGTATTATATAGTTTTAAATTTTTTTAAAAAAATTAATTTATATATTAAAAATTTTAAATATAATGATTGAATCCATCGAATCGTTGAAATTGATTTTACAGTAAAATTAATTTAGTTAAATAAGTATAGAAAAAAGACTTGCATTTAAACAAGTTGCAAAACTTATGCTATTTAGAACCGAGAATGGCGTATGAGAGTATGAGGCCATACACAATTTGATTGTAGCCAATCATTCAAATTACATTGTTTTATTGAAGTATTATTTTATTTTCGTTAAATATAATCTCTATAATTTCTTCGTATATGAAAATAAAGTATTTAACATTCACGTCATTTAGTAACTAATAAACTTCAAGACGATGAGTTAGGAACCGTAAAAAAGGACTATATTTTTTTTTTTTGACATCTATATAAAATTATTTTTAATCTTTTGTAATATTTTTCACTAATAAAAACACTATTGAAGAATGGAGTTTTTAGGAAATATCTTTAAAAATCACGATTTCAAGCCGAGTTTTCGACTATGTTTCATGGATTATGGATTATCAAACATAAATTTTTACATTCTCATATTATAATAGGATATGACTCCTTTATTGTTTTTTAATTCTTGAATGATGGGTGTCTTTGAACATATTCATGTTACTCCCTTATCAACCTGATTGTCAGTATGTCAGGAAAAAAATTTAAATTAGATTGTGTTCATGTCCTTTGAGAAGAAAATCAAGTAGTTGATAATTTTACTAAGTTAAGATTAACTCTCTTTGAGATAATGCATTATTTTAACTCTTCACCAAGTTGAACGCACTTTTTATTATTAGCGGATAGGTTTGTTATTTTTTTTTTCTCGTGAATTATAATTTATTGTTGGATTTTTAAGCTCTCTTATTGATAAAAAAAATATCTATCATTAAGAGTATTTTTAATTATTTTTATTTGATAATAATATTTTTAATTATAATATAATTTACATATTAAAAAATATTTATTTATTATAATTTTAGTTATATATTTTAAAAATATAAGTTATTTTGAACTATTTCTTATAAATTAATTACTTGTTTAAAGAAAATTGTTTCTTAAAAGTAAAAATAATTAGAGACTCTTAAATCTTTTTGTAACGTAGTACTACTAACATTTTGAAAATCAGTTTCTCCCACCGAGTCACGTGTCCACTTTGACTTAGGCTCAAGGCTGTAACGGTTGAAACTTGAGACGATCTTATTGATTTTATTTATTTATTTATTACAAAACTGTTCTTGCAAATATGAACACAACTAACGTTATGTGGTTCAGCGGTAGGTGTTGATCCACACTTAAGCAATGTCAGGGATTCAAATTCTGCTATCGGCGATGGATACTTCAGGAACGAACAAAAAAAATATATCAACACAACTGATGGGACCACAGTCCACCCGGTACGCAAGGGTTCTGAGTTTTGAGCTCAACAGTATGACATTACTCTTTTATGAATAAAATATTTAAGGAAATAGTGACAAGTAATCCTGTATTGTTTCTAGAAAATTACAATTTTTAATAACAGAATTGATAGTTCAAGATAGAAAAAATTGAAAATTATAGGTTAAAATACTTATTTGATCTCTTACAATATTTTTTTGTTTTAATTTAGTTTTACTTTAATTTTTAGTTTCAATTTAGTCTCTAATAATTTAAATTATTGCAATTTGGGACTTTCATCTAAATGATTTAAACGAAGTTAACTGTTGGTCACGTGGATGTCAGGTGGATGCCATGTAGATACATAGGTAGACGCCAAATTTCATGAATACACCTGGAACCAGAATGATCCGTTCTGAAACCATAACGGCACATTCTGGTGTTAGAACGAGCAGTTCTGGATTCAAAACGGTTCGTTCCAGATGCCAAATTTACACACCAATAGTATAACCAGAACGGGCCGTTCTGATTTCAGAACGGGCCGTTCTGGTTCCAAGTGTATTTGAGAAATTTGGCATCCATCTACGTGGCATCCACATGACCAACAGTTAACTCCGTTTAAATCATTTAGACGGAAGTACCAATTGCAATAATTTAAATTATTGAGGACCAAATTGAAACAAAAAATTAAAGTGAGACTAAATTGAAACAAAAAAATATTATAAGGGACCAAATAAGGGTTTTAACCAAAATTATATAAGCCACTAAATTATTTGTCTTATAAAATAAAAATTTAATAACATTTTACAAAATAATGTCTATTTATTATGTAACAAATACTTACTTCTGCCTATTACAACTAGAAATGAGATAATGGTGAACTATATTATGGGATGATAGAACTCAAGTTTACTCAAACTAATGTTAAGAGAATAAGAGATGATTAAGTTTACATTGAAGAAAATAGATTAGTACAAGAACATTGGTCAACTATATTATGGGATGATTAATTAAGTCCACTTTTAAGCACAAGGTTAAGGTTATTTTCTCTTTCAGTTCACAAAAGGAAGAAACATAAGATGGAAGGTTAGGTTATTTACCGTTGATGAGAAACTCCACACAAGGATTGGTTGGAAACTACTATTATCGATACCCTCTAAATGACGGTGAGAAAGAGCTTCGTCCTAACCCAAGCTTAGATTTCACATTTTTTTCCTACATATTTCTATGTACATTTGCATTATTCTTTGTTGATTCTTGCTTACCTTCCAAAACAATTTTTGAACCAAAAATTTTCATTCTTCTTTTCCGATAAAATCTTCCAAAAATTTAAAGTGATTTTGATTTGTATAATCATTGAAAATCAACCTCGTGTATGGTTTCTCCATTCCTTTATACTAAGAACTAATAACTTATTTATATAATTTCAAAGTAAAATACATTGTTAATGAGGGAACAAAAAGAAGTAGACATGATTCTAGATGATATATTATGAATTTTACATCAAAGGATCAACTTGAACAACATTTGAATGTTGTTGAGCAACATTGGATAAAAAAATTTGTATAAAAGTCCCATGAATCAACAAGTTACAAAGAACTCATGAAGAAATAAGAGATATTATATCTTTACTATCCTCCGTTTATTTCATTTAGAGCATTATATGTAACTTTGTGAATATTTTTAAAGCATATATATCATAATTTAAGAGCGAAAAGAACTTGTGTGTATCATCTAAAATAATGAAATTTCGAGTTACCATTAAAAAAAAGAGACAAATTTTGTAATCATACTTATTGCATATAAAGTAGAAACATTGTATTGAATTAGGTTTCATAAGTTTTTTATTGGTCACATTAGGAAAATTTTTTACATGTGTTTTTTGATGTGCTTTTTCACTATATATTTATTTTTGTTGTTACATAATGTCTATTTTGCATTTACAAAGAGGGAATTTAGTCTATTAGTAATTCTTACCACATGGTAAAAAATAATTTGCTAAATTATATTTTTGATATTTTATTTTTATCAATTTACAATTTTGATTTTTTTTTATATATTTTAAAATAGAGATATTTAATCTCTCTAATTTAAAAATATAGATTTTTTGTTCTCATGTAAAATTGATATTTATTAATTATTAAATTTTAATTTTTATTCATACTTAAGTGATGTGACATTTAGTAATATGATATTTAAAAATAAAAAAATAAAAATGCATATGAAGTTTATTAATAAAAATATAAAATAAATATTAATCACTTGTTAAAATATATATAATTTTTTTTATATTTTAGTTTATTTATTTATATATATATATATGTCATATTACTAAGTATCACGTCATTTAAGTAACGACATGTCAACATTAAAATTTAATGATTAACAAGCATCAAATTAATGACAGAATTAAAATTTCATATTTATTAAAATAAGAGGCTAAATGTCTTTATTTTAAATTA